CGTGCAAATACTCTTCTTTCATAATTTGGAATGATATGTATTCTGACCTGTAGAATGCAGTGTTCGCTTCCCGTATGGAAAGAGGATACCATGGAAAAATTATTGAGGATGCACCTAGTACAGACCAAAATATAGTCGATTTCGTTTTTTGTTGCCTTTGGCAAAATCTAAGTCCATTTTCGTACTGCATCGTTTTGGAACCAAACATTGCCAGCAGAAAGTTTACTCGTCTCCACCGCTGTAGTTAGTTTATCACCTCTATCGTCCCTCTTGCAAATGCTGTATTTTATCCTTCTCTCCGCCTCCAAGCTTTGCATTAAAATAGCCCTTAACGACTGCGTATGCGGGCATGACGATTAACGTAGACTCAAGTTCATTACATAACTCTTCCACCCTGTCGTCGTCACTGGCCATGGAGGGAGCATAGATTTGGCCGATTTTGAGGGTTTTATTGGAATTAAACCTGAGGAAGAATACGCCGATTAGTGACGAATGAAACTGACACGAAATGATTTGTGGAGACCACTGCCTGCTGACGGTAAATCCGCCTCCGCTAACGTTCCTCTGTCTTCAGGAGTGCCGAGCAAAACTGCATGTTTTTTGTATTCATACATATAATATACATATCGTTTAATAAGAAGACGAGAAACTTTAGAAATCTCCGTCTTTGTTGAAAAAAGAGAAAGCTTCTAAACCGTGATATGGCTAAAACTTATATCTGTAGCTTCCAGGTCCGAGCTGTGGGAGGTGATTATGCACTCAGTTTAATGTGCGGCGCAAGCGTGATGGAATGCACTGTGTCACGGTGGTTCTCGTTCATGGGGACGTATAACGAAGATGTAGGTGTGCCGTTTCACATCGAATTTGTGCCGATCGCAGCTTCACCTTACAACCAACAGTCGCTGGATACACTCAGTACACCGGCCGCGCGCAGCATTCAGCCACCTTCTACTCGAGTGCACGTTTGCTCTGAAGCTGCTCATCCGGGTGTTTCTGCGTGTTCATGTCAAGACTGTCCCCAGTCTTGTGTCGCAGAAGTGCCCTTCCCTCATATCATGCAGGTGGGCACTGCTTTTTATGCGTTTCTTGCATCTATACAAAACAACTGTCGAAGGGTTGCTTGTTTGTGTGTATGTGTGTCTGTTTCGAGTTTTCATCTCGAGATCTACAAAAGCTGCAAGGCTTAGACTTTGGCAACTTAATCTACACGTACATGTCCCCACCCCCCTCCCCAGTCCTCAGAATGGATGCTCACATGTCCACATGCTTCTTACGTACAGACACGTGAAATTTTTCTGGCGAGAAAGCGTTTTTGGAGCGGCGCACCCTGGAAGGCTGAAGCTTCACAAAGATGTTCCTTGGCCACGTCTGATTCAGCTCCCACGTACTCCCAGATCTCATGTTACGCATACGTCAAATTTTAAGCTGACATCATGCCGACCCCAGACATATGATAACCAAAAAGTTGTAGAGGACTGTAATTTTGCAGCTTTACTTGTTGCCCACTGATGTGTCCGTGGGGAGTAAATTGAACTTCCACTCCCCCTCCCCCTTTTGCATCTCACTGACATGTGAAGATCCCACACAGACAGTTTTATAACTTCGGAACTGAAGCAGCTAGAGGGGTGGAATTTTCCGTGCGTGGCTGGCAGCGGCATTTGATTAGGTGGGCACGAAAACGACTTTTACGTTCCACTCATGTTTCATATGAAATTTATTTAAATTGAATATGGAACCAACAGTCCCGGCCGCCGTAATATTTTACTTCATTTTACATACTATACCTCTTAGTTTTACTAACATGTTCTTTTACTGTTTTTCATACAACTAATTTTAACATAATATAACCAGTTAAAACGAAATTTACGCCAATTGCCATAATCGTCGTACTGGCGAGGTCCAGTTGCGGTAATGGTAAGAAATATGTACGACTTAATGGGCTGAAACATTTCTTGCCGTTATAATAATTTTATCAAAATATTTTAGTACTTCTACTAATTTCATAATATTATTTGCTTTTGTCTTCTTCCAATTTTAGAATATTTTCCTGTTGCATACGTGTCACGTGCGAACGCATTAAATTTCACGTAACTTTGGGACTAGAACAGCTGGGGTGCTGAAATTTCCTGAGCTTGACCCAAGACCGTGTTTGAGCAAGCGTACGCCAAACCAACATTCACGTTTTCCCTCACATACGAACACTTGAAATTTGACGTAACTCCACAACCGAAGCTTTCAGAATGCTGATTTTTTCGGGCATGGTTTGGGAGTCATTGTAATAATTTCTAACAGTCGTGATGGACACTCTCGATTCTCTTAGTTAGAAGCATCTGCCGGAAAAAACAATGCCATTAGCGACAAAAACCTGCAGGGAACTGTGCAGAAAACGCATTTTCGCACCAGTAGCCGGTGCGCTGTCAACTAAGTTGTATTTGCCAAGTTTCATCTTTGTAAAGCCTTCTTTTAGTGCTTCAGACTGTAGCAAGCAAAAAATTAAATGTTTATTTCAAGACAAGTTTATGTTGCTGTTTTATGCTAGCAGATTTTCTTCACTTAATTATTCCTTTAGTCAAAATTGGTTTAATTATTCCTTTAGTAAACTGTCTTTCTGCTGAATCTTCCTGTTTACTCCTTGCTTACCCTCACGAAGGTATCGCATCTATGCAGAAGATACAGTGTTTTTGATGAATTTTAGGAAAAATGTCAGATTGCATCGATCGATTGTATGCTAATTTTGTCATTGTTCGGATTTGGTGGACTGTGTTTTGCTGTTCTATTCCTTGCTGCGATGCACTATGGCCTAAAGAAAGGACCTGACAACGATCTAAGCGATTTTAAGCCAGCTGCTGGAACGCTAGATGATACTGACCTTGGAACGATTGATACACTCGGATCGTGGATTGAGTCACAGCTCGAACTGATTTGTGCACATTATGGACAGGTACGAAGCATCATTCGCTGTCTTTTGCATAGAACGCCCTGACTCTTATCAGTGCGAGTGCTGCTACCACAGCTATGCTATGTCCTGTTGTTTGCTAATTATTCGATTTCAAAGCCGGATCAGAAGCACTAAAGTTAGATCAGAACAACACATCTTTTGTGGTCGGGCTGGAAACATCTTCAGAAAAGCGCCTATTTTGTCAAAAAAAGCGTGCCTGTTCCTCGAAACTTGGATACTGGACGCTGCAAGCTCATCTTGCGATTCTCTTGGAATCATCTTATCAAAACCAAATGTTTTTTTTTTGTCTTAATGCTTTTTTTTTCTCA